GGGGGACCCCCCCCCCCGCCCCCCCCCCCCAAAAAAAAAAAACCCACTCCTCCACTCCAACTTTCTGGCTCTTTTGTCTGAAATGTTTTTACCCGTCGTCTCTGTCTCACTCTTCATCCATCACCCCCCCCCCGCCGTTTTTATGCTAATGAGGCACCGTAAGCTCCGCCCATTTGACAGGAAATACCTTCCACGCCGACAGTGGACCAAACACAGTTGCCATGTTTGATATATTTTTCCTCTGTCTGACCCGCGGCATTTCGGGGGACGTTTCACTGGTTTAAGTTCACGTTAGCAAACGTTTTTATTTCAGCGCGGAGACGTCTGTACAAACAGGAAGGACATCATTTCAGCTTCTGAGCCCCGTGAAATGTCACACACTTGACCTTTAAAAGCTGTTAACCACGGGGCAAAGCGTTCACGACTGAGTGACAGTGCTTATGATAATGACATGATATGAATCAAGCGCTCCTGCGCAGCGCGCCCTGATGGATGTCTGAATGAAGGGGAGCTGCACGCGGCTCCTCGCCGCTGACCTGAAGGTGACGGTTGATATTCAGCATGAATTATGTGCGAGGGCTCATTTGAAATCTTAGACGCTAGTCTGACAACATAACCTTCAAAGATTGTTTGAAGGCAACGAGGTTCTGTTACTCTCCGTAGCAGTTTCCATCACATTCTACATCCTTGGCTCTGACTGGACTGTCAGGGAGCCGTAACACGTTTCTAACGATGCTTCCAGGCATCGTTAGAAACTGTTGACATGTGTTCGTTACCTGCTCCGACAACGAGCTGCCTTTGAACAGGCATCAAACTAAAAAAAAAAAAATCCACGTTATTAAGCTGCCTATTTGTATCTGCCGTCATGAGCCGCTCGATCGCATCCCTCAGTCGTCAGAAATATTCCCTTTGCTCGCGGTCACGTTAAAACTGAGCAGAAATCAAAAGGAAACGGAAACTTGGTTCCCTTGATGTCACGCTCTTTAATCAAGTGATTGGTCGCAGCGGAGATGGAGTGAAACTGACCTGAGGTCAGGGAGAGTTCTCCACCCGACCTCTTCATTAATCTAATTCAATCATAAACGGAGGATGTTTTTTTTTTGTGACGGGCTGCGCTGCAGTTCTTTGTTTGTTTTTATTTTTAGGATTTAGCAGCCTAGCGGGCCAGTTTTGGCCTGCGGGCCGTATGTTTGAGACTCCTGACTTGCTCTGATATGAAAAGGAGAACTTAATGATAAACCTTGGTATGAAAGGGTTTTTACAACAGGTCTGTGTCACCGTTTGTTCACGCGGTGGTGAAAGAGGATGAAACATGTTGGTGTTGTTTCGCTCTGAGCTCCAGATATTTATATATATCATGAAAATAAAACCAGCCTAAAATAATCATAATAATTAAAGAAAACAGGAGGAATCGGCCACATGAAAGGAAACAGGGACAAAGAGTGGGGGGGGGGTGGGGGGGGCGGCCCCTAATGGCAGACTCTCCCACTAATGAAAGGCAGCAGCAGTGTCATTTAGCATCAGTAATTTCCCTGCTCTGTTTACAAGCACTGCATATCACTACTTTACTACGGCACGTCTGAACCGACCAATGGGAAAGCAGCGGCAGCGCCGACTTATCGGGCCGTGATTTGCAATTCAATGACTGCGCGTGCCGTTTCCCCACGTGTGGCATTAGCACGCGCGCTAACGTACCTGCATCTGCGTCACGTAGACGGGTTTGTTGATGACGATCCACGTGGACGTCTCGTAGCAGGGAGGGACGGTGATGGAGCCCTCGTAGGTGATGTAGCGGGTGGTGTCAGGGTAAAGGTCGGCGATGTTCAGACCCATCAATAAGAAGGCGTCATCTGAACAGAGAGGAAGAAGAAGAGTTAAAGAGGAGCCGCGTGATTGGTGAACGGCTGTCAAAAAAAAGAAGAAGTATTTGCTATTTTTCAAAACACAAAGTACATGATGAAGTACTGGCCTTGACCTTCCAATGATTCACTAAACTCCACAATACTCCCTCAAATACTTTAACTTTGTCCCTCCCTCCCACACCTGGGAACTCAGGGGACGGGTTGGGGGGAGGAACGGGGGAGGTGAGATTTTGTTTTGTTTTCATTTGATCTTTTTATTCACTGAATTCAAAGCCTGCCGTAGATTTTACCTCCATTTATAAAAATTATTTTCACGAATGACTTCCCGAGGAACATCTTTGTCTCTTTTCTCTGGGTGTCACGGCGAGTGCACGGTGTAAATATTCTCATGTTGGACTAATGGAACATTCTGAAAAGAATTCAGAACGTGGGATGAAAATTTACCAATGCACACAAAAAGAGGCATTGTGGGAAAAAAAAAGCAAAAAACAAAAAGGTTAGCTTCTACCTGTGTCACACGGCGGGGGAGTGGTTCGTACTCTCGCCTTACAAACACGTTTGGTTTAGGGGCTGCATAAAACCTAATCCAATCTAATTAATAATAATTAACAATAAGTCATTTTTTCCCTTTGTTTTCATGAAGATAAAGTTAGATATTTAATACTTTTATTAATGTTTGAATTAATTAAAATTTAATTTTAAAGCGGGCCGCATTTAACAACCCAGTGGGCCAGTTTTGGCCCGTGGCCCATATGTTTGACACCACCATCTCCCAGTGTCTGGTAACTCTGCCTATTCAGTTTCCTCCGTGCGTTTGTCTGACGTCGTGAAACCTCCGGCCGCCGCTCACTCAACAATACGACGTTGAGACTTTTGTTGCTCGGAGGAAATTAATTTCCCACAGAAAAAAAAATAAACAACTCAGGTTCAGACGGACGTACGCACAATACACGGAGATAAATACCCTGGAATCAGAGCAGCAGACAACGGTACCACACGGAGCTGCAGAACCGATTAGTTCCGTCAACAGCACCTGTTATTCCTGCTAATGTGAGCCTTTCTGTGAACTAGCCCTGCAGCCAGGGGGCAGTAGTTCAGTGAGTGAGTGATGTCCCGTGGTACTGTGGTTGCAGCGCGGTGGCTTCTGTGTAGATGGTTGTGTGGAGACCGATTATCTGAGCGGTGGTGCTGGTTGTGTGTGTGTGTGTTTTACACACGACGTGTTGTAAAAACAGCAGTAAAATAATAATAAATGAAAAAAGAAATAAAAGAGAATGAGTTTCTGCCTCTGCATGAACAGAACGGCTGCTCTGATGGTGAATGTTTTAGGTTTCAAATCATAAACACAGCCACTGATTAAACATCCAGACCAGAGGTCCTCAACAGGGGGTCTGGGGCCAAATCATTTTAACGTATTTTATTCATAGTATTTTCGGAGTCGCTTCATATTGAATGCAACAAAACGGGGTTTGTTTATGGTTCCTGGTACTGGGAACAAAGAGGTGAAAAAAAAAATTAAAATAATAATAATAATAAAACCATGAACAAAAAGTTAACTCCAGGAACAGGAAAAAAAATTAATTCATTTCCATTTCCTAAGTTAAACAGTTTACCAGTGTCATGTGTGAGCTTCAGGAGTGCTATGGCGCCCTCTAGGGGAGAGGCATTTTTAACACCACTGCCATAAAGCAATCCATGAAATGACACATACTGTAGTACATTAAAACCACACACAGTTTGACGGTGTCAGTGGTAGAAACAGCGCCACCTCATGGTGGACCTCAGCCTTCTGTTGACAACATTCCTTTAAATCTGACAGTTTGACCTGAACTCACATTCGACGCTCGGTGTAAAAAAAAAAAAAAAAAAAAAACACTCATGAAACTGCAGGTTTTTTTTTTCTTTTTTTCGTTTTGCTCCGGGCCTCGCCCCAGCGAGTGTCACGTCTAATGAGTCAGAGTCGGTGGTAACGGAGTTAAACTGCAGCAGCTGTGTTCAACACGGAGGGCGTGCTCTCCGTGTTGAACACCTGTCCCATAAAGATGTTGGAGTGAGTGTAAACAGGAAGAGTTCTGGGAGTGGTGGTCTCAGTAGGAACCAGGTTTACACCCCCCCCCCCCCCCCCCCCCCCTCAGACAGTAACGACAGCTCCCACAGGCTGAAACCTTCGTTTCCAAGGTTAAATCCTGACGCCCGCTCCTCCTTCATCTGCGCCGCTCGTCTCCGTACGATTAAGTTAAGTCGCGCTAATGTCTTCCCGAGTGACAAAAACAAGTTGCCGCGCGGAGGTGTGTGCGAGTGTTTATATTTAGTTGTATTAGAAGCAGGAAATCCTCCAGAGAGACGCACGCCGTCACGGCTGAGACGGGACAAGACGTCTGGAAATGAAGAAATGATTTGAGGGAATTAAAAAAAAGAAAAGAGGTGGAAACAATATGTGTGTGTGTGATTTCTGAGGAGTGTGTGTTCAGGTCTGGACACAGGATTTTTAACGACATTTATTCACATTTGAAAGTGGTTTCAAATCAGATATGCATCGACGTGTCTCAGTGTAAACTGATGCGTTCATTTCCTGCTGCGCTCCGGTCCAGACTGATCTGGTCCAGACTGATCTGGTCTGGACTGATCTGGTCTGGACTGATCCGGTCCAGACTGGATCTGGTCTGGACTGATCTGGTCCGGACTGATCTGGTCTGGACTGATCTGGTCTGGACTGGTTTGGTCTGGCGGTCCAGACTGATCTGGTCTGAACTCAGATCTGATTTCCTAACTGTTCAGTTGTCGGATTTTTGCTTCAATCTCACAGTAAATTAAAAAAAAAAAACTGCAGTCAACTGATGAAAAAGATGGACGGAGCTGACGGAGCTAATGTCCCATAACGGGTCCCCAGCCCTGTGGTTGAGAACCCCTGCACTAAGTGTTTCCTCCATAACGTCTGGAGAAGGTGAGTACAGTTTTAAGGAGTACTAGCAGTACTTCACTCAGCCCAGGATCTGGGTTGGTTCATATTTGCATTGTAGCACATGAATTAATCAGAACAATGAATTAATCAGCGTCACGGCAACGAGGTCATGTGACACGCCCACAATAAAACACACAGATGAAGGTCGAAGGAAGAGAAACGGAGTACAACGGAAGTTTAGTAGGTAGTAGTAGTAGTAACAGTAGTAGTATTAGCAGTAGTAGTATTAGCAGTAGTAGTAGTAGTAGTATTAGTCGTAGTAGTAGTAGTATTAGTCGTAGTAGTAGTAGTATTAGTCGTAGTAGTAGTAGTATTAGTCGTAGTAGTAGTAGTATTAGTCGTAGTAGTAGTAGTATTAGTCGTAGTATTAGTCGTAGTATTCAGGCCAACGTCGTGTTTTTTTTTCCAACGTGACGTTTGTTTCTTTCATTTCTTTCGTTTCTTTTTCTGACTTTAATTTCTCTGACGTCAGTCTTCTGTTTGGACCTTTGTCTTTTTTGTTACAGCAGAAGTGTGTGTGTGTGTGTGTGTGTGTGTGTGACTTACGTTTGTAGTTGATTCTGGTGATGGTATCTCTGTTCAGCATGCGGTTCAGAAAGGCGTTGGAGTTTTCGGAGAGCTGAAACATAACAAAGAGGAGAGAGAATCAAATATTCATCACAGAGCAGCGCCTGAATCACACACACACACACACGCACGCACTGCTATCCCTGTGAGGACCAGGCACTGACATAATGACTCCCCACCCCCTTCACTCCCCCCTCCTCCTCCTCTCCAGTCTTTGACCAACACCCTCAGAAAATCAAACACTCAAATAAACTCTGTGACAAAAGCATTCGTTTCCTAATTGGTTCCTCAGTCTCCACCACCACCACCACCACCACCACCACAATCAGCAGCATCAGCATCAGCACTGACCTTAATGAATATGGAGACCACGGCGATACCGTGAGGGCTCTTGGCGGCCTCGGTGTAGTTGGCGTACAGATCCTGGTTGTAATGGATGAGCTGGACCTGGAACAGAGACACAGAGACACGGGGACAGGGGGACAGGGGTTTATTTTCTTCTTCTTCTTCTGTTTGTCCAGATGCAGAAATACTTCCTGGGTCTGAAGAGCACGTTACCTTCCATGTCACCCGTAGACCAGAGCTGGCCGGCTCGGCCGGATGTCTTCCTGGTCGGTTTAATAGTTAACCAGCGGAGCCGGTTTCTCCCGGCTGACGGAGGCTGGCGTTACTGTAAACCTTCATTTCACTCTGGAGGTCGCTCCAGTTTCAGCCCGGCACCATTTGGACTAAACCACATTTGGACTAAACCACATTTTTACTTCTTACTTCACGTCTGCCTCCGAGCTCCGTCCGGTTCTTATTAACGCTATTAATCTACGCTGTATGAGTGCTCCGGGCGTCGGCCCCCCCCACCTCTCCAGGGAAGCCCTGCCCGCTGAGGAGGTGTTCCGAC